GGTCCCGGTCCGGGATGCCTTCTGCCGGCTGCACCGAGGCCGCGCGCTCCCGGCGGCGCGGCCCAAACTTTGCCCACCGCCTTCTCTGCGCTCGCTGCGTTTCGTTGCCTGCTGCGTCTTTGGGGATTCTCTGCTCACCCGGACCTCTCAGAGCCACCTAGTCAGCCCGGCTCTGTGCGCCACCTCTCCTAACCTGGTCCTCGAACGCCGGTGCTTCCACCTTTCCGCTGCGCCCTGCCCTCTCCTCGTCCCCGCCACTTTTTGCTAGTTTTCTGAAGCCCTCCGCGCAAACTCTGCCGAGTCTACCAAACTCTCCAGACCCTGCCCGGGGCGACAGTGGGCGGCACAGTGGACCGGACAGTGGGTAGATTCCTACTTCCATGTTAACTTCTCCAAAGCCACTTGGGTGTTTCCGTGCCTCAGGGAAAAACGGGAGAAAAAGTCTTTTTACTAAAAGGTAAGGGTGGGTGGCCAAGTGATTTTCAGTGTATTTTCGATGGGCCTAATAAAGTAAGAGGTCATTGTCATAGCTTGGAAGGGCGCGATTTCAAGAACTCCAGATGCCCTTCCCAATCTGAGGGGCGGGTTCAGGGTTCTGAAGCTCTGTCTCCCAGACCTCACTTCCCCCTTTCAGGGATCTTGAGGAGAGATGTGTACTTGTGCCATTTCCTCTACTAGATTAGGGTGTGGTGCTTTGCCTACTGTGGGAATTACTAGCGACAGTAACAGCTGGATCAGGTTAGAGATGTATATTTATGGCGTAACCTGTCTCTGTGGCAGTGAGTTGGCTGACTAGCCCTACCAGCAGTTAGCCAAGGACTCAAAGTGGGGTAGTGACAGCTTCTTAAGCAAAGGAGGAATTTAGTCTACCACACCTCTAAGGTTCCAATTCAGTCTGGACGCTAAGATTGTGACCGCTGGAGGATGCCTGCGCTCAGATTTGCACAGCTCTGCATAGGAAGTCGTCTTCCAGCGCCTCAGCCCGCCCTCTTGCAGCTCCTTCCACTCCTCCGCACATTGGCCCCTCAGGCCACTCAGTCCCAGCTGACTGGGGTCAATTGGGTGTGTACAGGTAAGAGGCCTGGAAGGGACTCTGAGGGATCCTCTGCACACACTGAAGACAGAAAAGCTCAGGCTTTGTGAACCCGAAGTCAGTGACATCCTTCCCTCTCCCTGCTCACCATTCCCTATGCCCCGGTGAGCTTTTTCCTCCAAGTCTGGAACCTCTCATTCGGAGCCTCCACTCTGACTCTGTTTGGCTTCTCGTCCTGAGCCATCAGCACTTGGATCCGCTGGGTTCACCTCCTGGATAAATCTGACTTGGTCCTCTTGTTCATTTTCTTTTTTCCAGACCAAACCTCCAGAAAATTGTTCCCGGTTTCCTAATCTAGAACTGGCTTTTCTCTGTGACTTTTAACAAGAGACTGAACCTGGACACTGATGGGCACTTGTTTCTTTTTTTTTTTTTGGTACCAGAGATTGAACTTGGCCTTGCGCTTGCAAGGCAGGCCACCGAACCGCTGAGCTAAATCCCCATCCACTTGTTTCTTTATCTCAGCCTCCTAGAACCCTGAAATTCATCTGCTGAGAATATGTCCTTCTCTTTCCGGAATTTTTTTTTTAATGGGATGAGATTCAGGCAGTGGCTATGATTTCTACCTCCCTACCTCTCTGTCTCCCTTTTTTTGTTGTTGTTAGGAAGACCTGGGGCTGGGGATGTAGCTTGGTAGTACAGCATACTGGGTTTGATTGCCAGCAATAAAATAAAAATACAGAAGAAGAAATTGTTGCCCAGACATCTTACATCAGAATTTCCTCTGTCTTATAGGTCTTACACCCCAGCTCAGACTTATTCCTCTGGAGGGACAGTGGGGGAGAAGGAATTAGGAAAAGAGGCAGGGAAGAGGTACATCTGAACATGCCAGTAGCAATCAGAGTAGTGAAACTGCCTCTCCCAGGACTGTATCCAGGGCCCTGACCTCAGCAACCAGAGCCCCATTTTGGCCTTACTTTCCAGCAAGCCACCCTGCCTCCTCTCTCCAGCAGTCTCTGCCAACTCACTCTACCACCAGCTTTCCTGTCATCTGTAGGGCCAGCCTGCGTTGCCCAGAACCTGTCATTTGCTGGTCCCTACGCACTGATCTAGCACTGGAAGAGATGGCGGTCCCAAACTCAGGGTGGTAAAGTAATGACAGGGAAGCATGCTTGCTTTTTTGGTGAAATAACCCAGTAGTTTAAGATATGAATGATGTGCAATTTGGGCTCCATATGTAAAAAAAGATACAACCACAATTGGGGTAGCTTCAGAGGAAAACAACCCAAATCATTAACACAGTAAATGGCCTTTTTGGATAAAAAAAATTAGGGCTGTTCACTCACTCATTTACGAAAATCTTTGATTAGTGCATACTAGAAAAGATTGTGCTGGGCCATTTAGATAATGATGGCCAGGATATGGTGTCCATCTAGGAGTGGGCAAGATGCATGTGTAAACATAACTAGAATACAAAACAGTCATCAAGCTCTCCAAATGTAGACCCTAGATATTGCTGTGACACTTGTGGAAATGGGGCACAACTCTTTCAATTCATTTCATGGAAGTGGGGCATTTGGGGAGAATTTAAAGGTGCTTGGTAAGATTTTGATAAATTACAGAAAGACTATTCCAGGCAGAAGGAGCAGATAAACAAAGACCAACATTAGCATTTGGGAACATTGGCCAGCTAGGATTGGTGAGACAGAAGATATGAAGGAGAATATAGGATGATGTGAGAGACCTTGAATAACAATTCAATTGAGTAACAATTGTAAAATGTGGCATTTAGTCCATGAAAAGCAGGAAAACCACTGAAAGTTCTAAGATAGGGTGGCATTACTGAATGGAATGGTGAAAGATAATAGTAAAATTATGTAACGATTGGGGGATAGAGTGGTGGTGCTGGAACAGGCTTCAGAATCATGATCTTCTTGCCTTAACCTCTTGAATGCTGGGGTTTTTGTTCACCACTGTTTCTGGCCAACATTAACCCTTTAGTTCCTGGGTTATAAAGCTGCCCTGGGAAGTTGGGTGCGGTGGAACTTGTTTGTAATCCCAGTACTCTGGGAGGTGGAGGCAGGAGGATTGCACGTTTGAACTCAACCTGGGCAGCTGAGCAACATTCTGTCTCAAAATATAAAATACACACACACACACACACACACACACACACACACACGCGGAATCCAGTGTGAATTCTCTGTATTTGATTCTCAGTACTGAAAAACAACAGCAAAAACTGGCCTGGGGATAGGTTATTGTGGCTGTGGAGCATTCAGAGGGCCTGGGGCCACATTGTGTACAAACATGTACCTAAATGTTTTAGTATTTTAATAACTGATGTAGCTACATTGGTGTGTCTCAGCTGAAAAGCAGTCCATGGAAGTTAAAACCTCTCCATTCAGGCAGGTTTTAACATGTTATACCCATTTGTTCAGCTTGGATTAGCCAAGGTTCTGCCCGAAGGCAGAGGTCTGGACTAAATAAGTTTCTAAGTTCTTTGTTCTATAATTGATCTATCAGTGAGACCAACTTGATGTTTCTTCGCAAAGCCTCCACTGAGGAATAGTTTGCACTCACTTCCTTTTGGATCTCTCGAAGCTGGGTCTGGAATGTCCTTGTTGGATTGTTTTTTTTCTGCCTTATGCCTGTACAGCATCTCTCTATCTATACTGCATCTCTCTGGGTGGCCTTGTGATTGCTGATGGCTGTGAGTGGGTGAGGGAGGCACACCCATAGATGTCAGGCAAGCTCATCAGCTCTGGGTCACCTCGGCCACTCTGCTTTGGAAAGCATGCAAACCCTCCAGTATGGAGGTAACACAGGGCAGAGCAGTAATCTGAGACACAGGCAGGAAGGGGGAGAACAAATGAGACAGATGTTTGGGCAGAGGAGGAATAGTGTGGCTGAGAGTTGAAACTCAGAAAGCAGGGGCAAGTGCAACTGCTTCCTCTGTTCTCTGCAGGCTGGAAGTGTGTGTGTCTTTTGCTGCCTGGACAAGCGGCTTCTCTCCCTGGAACCTCTGGCTCTTTTTCCCATGTCCTACTTACCTCTCTGTACATAACACTTACTTGTTTCACCTGGCTGCTGGGTGCATCTTCAAATATAATATTCATTTCTGGGCACATACTAGGCACTTGCATAAGTGCCTTGTGGTTATGAACAGTCAGCTCTGAATTTCCAAGCACCTCATATTTTCCACCAACAGATACTCTGTTTATCAGTGACTGAACCAAGAATAGAACCTAGGAATTCTTGTTCCTTGTACCATCATGCATATAAACAACTATAGCCTTTGAATATAAATGCAAAAGGTCAGAATTAGGCCATCAAGGCTTTCTCTCTCTATTTTTTTCTTAGCAGTGCTGGAGATTGAACTCAGAGTCTCATGCACGCTAGGTAGGTGTTGTTTCACTGAACTTTTCCCCTACCCATTTTTAAATCTTGTTTTGAGATAGGGTCTTGCTGATTTTGAACTTACTGTCTTTCTGCCTCAGTCTCTGAGTAGTTGGGATTACAGGTGTGTACTATTGTGCTTGGCTCATCATTGCTTTCTTAGAACTGTGCTTCCTTTGGGCTAGCACTGCCTAGAGCAGAAATGCAGTGTGAGATAAGAGGAGACTGTATCCGTATTTGGCGTATCCATCTGGGCATCTTCAGTCCGTGTTCTGATGTCTCCCTAGTATCTCAGTAGCATGTTTACCTCCTTCATCCTGCTCACCACCCAGGGACCCTGAGGTCCCATTCTCCTGGCTGCCAGCTGCTTCTTGTCCTGGGAGTTGTTCAGATACCCTGCATGGTTAGCCCTGCTTTGCAGCACTAGGTCTTCTGAAGTAGCTGCTGCTTTGTTGGTTTCAGGAGAGGCTGGTAGGTGCACTGCAGTAATTTTCCAGGCTGTGGTGCCTGTCTTGCCCTAGTGCTGAGCTTTATGGAGCAGAGCAGAGCAGAGCAGAGCAGTGGCTGTAGCAAGTTTGCTTTGGGAGGGAGCCTGTAGGCTGTTCCTGGAGTCAGCCACTCACTGTCTAGCCTGTACCGAGCTCTATTTGTCTCAACAACTCCCCTCCTTTTATTTTCTATGGGTACTTTTCCTTATATCCAAAGATAATGAGTTCTAATCTAGGCTTACTACTGGTATACATTTAAGCCGTTAGACAATCCTGCTTTGACCTTGTAATACACATAACTAGCAGATTTATAGGTTAGCTGCTATAAAATAAAATAATACTACTGAAGGAGCTCAGAATAGTTTGGATTATTTATATAAAGGATATTGGTCTGAATTACTATGTTATATATTCTGAGCAAGCGTGACAGGTCTTTAAATTTTTATACTCTTAGGTTGTGCTTTAAATGCTGGAAGTGTCCACTAGATAAACAAAAATGAATGTTTTAATTATTTATTTTTTGTGGTATTGGGGATCAAACCCAGGACCTCGAACATGGTAGGTCAGTGTTCTACCACTGAGCTGCATCCTTTGCCCAGCCTCTTGTGTGTGTGTGTTTTTTTTTAAAGTCTTGGGCTCAAGTGATGCTTCTGACTCAGTCTCACAGGTGCTGGAACTATAGGTGCATACCAACATGCCCAACTCCCAGTCCTCTGGTATTTTACTATGTAGTGCATTCTCTGTGCTAAGGTTTGTTTTCTAGTTTGGTAGTTTTGTTTTTTACTTTTGTGCTGGGTTTGAACCCAGGGCCTTGTCCCTGCTTAGCATGTGTTGTACCACTGAGTTACAGTCCATTTTGTTCTCCTTAACTATGAAAGTCTTGCCAGGCATGGTGGCACATGCCTATAATCCTTGAGACAGGAGGATTGTTAACGAGGCCAGCCTGGGCTATATAGTGAGTTCAAGACTAGCCTGAATTACAGAGCAAGACCCTGTCTCAAAAACAAAACAAAACAAAAAACACTCCTGATACTGACCAACTTTTTTGGAAAATAAGTATCTAAATTGTCCTCTTGGTCTTTGTGTGTGTGTGTGTGTGTGTGTGTGTGTGTGTGTGTGTGTTTCTAACTTTTTACAGCAGTATATATATTTTTTGGGGGGGGGATTTTTTGAGACAGGGTCTTATTATGTAGTTGAGACTCACCTAGAACTCACTATGTAGCGCAGGTTTGTCTTGAACTCACAGAAATCCTGCCTCAGCCTCCCGAGTGCTGGGATTACAGGAGTGCTCCCACGCCTGGCTATGGCAGTATAATTTGAGTACAGAAAAAATAAGGGGGCCGAAGATTTAGCTCAGTGGCACTGCACCTGCCTGGCAAGCACAAGGTCCTGAGTTTGATCCCTGGTTCTACCCCCCACAAAAAAAAGTGTACAACTTGATGAACATTTCCCACAAACTCAGTGTATCTGTGTAATCACATGTTGGTGAAGAAGTGTTACCAGTACTCCTGAAGCTCCTGCTTGGGCTTCAATTACTAC